AAGCAAAATAATCTGGGGCAAAGACATCGGGTCATGATCAACGATAACGTGGCAATACGAAATTTGAACTTGCCAAAGGAGTCGCAATTCGCAAGGTTAATACGCGTCTTTAATATTAATTCAATCTATGCATGTGGTGTTTAATTGTCTAAAAACCATTGCGAAGTACCAGTTTTTAAACAAACGACATGAGCTTCAATTTCTCAGTTAGCGCTGAAACCTGCCTAGAGACTGCACGACCCGCCGCTGGCAATCAGTTTCCCAGGAGACGAGAGCCATGAGCCACAACCCTGCAAAATACCAGTAGATAGTTTCTTTGCCTTTACGCTGCAGTCATCATGAGCTCTGAAAGAATGCCAGACATACAAGGATTCACGGCGCAAATTAAATCACTTTAAAATCAGAAGCTGGCCAACTACCTAAAGAAATAAACAAATACTATCAAGTTTGCGTTTGCTGCTGGACGAAGGTCGGGAAGTACTCCGGAGGTCAACTGGACTGGTGCTTGGTTGGTGCTCGGTCAAGAGATCACATACAATTGCCAAATGGGTTTATTCCGTTGAATAATAATCTGGTGGGGGGGGAGGGGTCCTAAATGCCTGACCACTCCTCCAGATTAGAATAGATTTGGATTAAATCGCGTCCGCTTTGGATGTCCGATTGGTGTGGTCCCGACAGCTGCCTCGGCAAGGCACTCGGATATTTCTCAGGAATTTATCTATGCTTATGGAAAGTCACCCAGCAGTATATCCTCGACTTGAATATCTACAAATCGATCCTATCATTGGCACTCTCAAACGAGCTCGTGGAATATTCTATGCTCATGGGAAGTCACCCTCTTCTATATATCCAGAACTGACCAGCATTTTTAAATTTCTTGTGAGCTCGAACAAAATCCGAAGACATAGAATAGAGCCCATCAGGAAATGGTTGATCATCTCAGTGGATCCCTGCTGCATTTGTCACGCGCAGAAAGAGATAAACATTATGGCCAGGAAAGCGGACGTTATGAATACTCCACGAAAAGGCATCGGTACCGCAGCACGCTGAATAAATTAGCATACACAGCGCCAAATTCCCGGTGTGCGTCCAGGCTCGGGAGTCGGAAGCGCCAAGCCGTATAGGTATTCTTAGTTGCCAAAACCAAAATGAAACCCATCGGTGGCGGCATCTAAACAGAGCCGGAGGAATGATCCCGGGAGTAATAATTTTCAAACCTATTGTTCGTTAGAAATGCTATTGGCGGGTATTTTGAGACCAAATAGAAGGAAAAACTCGGGACCCGCAGGGACGGGCGGGCGCGCAGTCGGAATCCCGCACTGCCCGCGGTTCGCTGAATTGTCGGAGGATCGAGAAGAATAATTCAAAAAGAAACGCTTACCGACGCGCGCTCCGCGTCCATGTCGGGCCCACGCGACATTGGCGAAATAAGTGATTTTCTTTTTGATGCGTACGGGATCCACAAAGTTGGAGCGGGGTAGAGCGGGGTTTGACGGTGTTTCCACATGGGTTTGAGGTTTCAATCAGTATACTTTATCGGCAATGAAAAATAAGCGCATGGGGAAGAGGACACCGAACTGTCCATGGGCGAAAAGCGGCCGCCGTCGCGTGCTCAATTGTAAGGCGCGACGCACGCGTCCGAGTTTAGTGAGTGGAACCGTGGGAAACGGCATGTCGATCATTATCAATCGGTCTCGGTCTCAATTCTCACTGCCAGTGATATACGGTTGCACGGCACGGTCCCGCGCAGAAACACCGTACTACAGGCCATTTATGGTCATCCCTCGCCGGAAAATCGCACCATGATGCATTGTAGCTATTATCAACAATCTCTGGTAACGCCTGAAATAATTTTATCGCTGATAGATCCTCGCATGTCGCAAAAGCAGCGAGGTCCCGTCACTGGCTCGTGGCGTACGGCACGATTCGATGTCTGGGTAGTGCTAACTGCCTTGAAGCAATGGGGAAAGCTCTCTCTGATAGGCTCTATCCAGTGGTCTGTCATTGACTATCTGGTTAGCATTCCAGATCCTCACAACCATTCATCTTTTGCTTTTACCAATGTTCCTTTGGACCTCCCATATCGGGCCTAATGGGCGTCTTCGTCCTGTCTGCGGGAACAATCCAAGGATGGGGTACTCAGATGTCCTAGAACATCTACCGAACGAAGTACTCGTGAATGTCAAGCATGCCGCGCGGCACGATTATTTTCGTGGATTAATCCATTCATTCAGTTTTGCGTGCATGCGATACGATGTGCCCCATCGGTACTAGCTTGCGCCTGCCAAGTACGGGCCGACGTCTCCGTCAGTTATCAAGATTCGCGTCCGGTGGGTGGGCTGCTTCCGCCGCGGGATTGGCAGCCAGCGTCCAAGGTGGTGCGTGATACAGATGCCGTGGAGTCCAGACCCAGGAAGAATCTCATGCAGTTGACATCGCTGGTGTCCACAGCCATCTGTTTAGTCTCAGGATCGTAATACCGCGAGACCCAAGTACTCGATCTCCTTGTCTGGCCTTCGCGGTGTTCGCACCCCCGAGTTTAAGCCACCCTCGAGTTTAACGATGCCACCACACGGATTGCTCTGGTCCGCGCATGAAGACGAAGGCACGTTCTTCTCGCCTCCTCCGTTTTCGTCTTCGTCTTCACTATTAGCTCACTCGCGGGGAAGCGCAGCTGCAGTTTGTAGACGTGATTGGAATCATGCATATGATACTCGAGTGCGGATGGATCACCTTTCTTTCATTTATCTCGCACCCCAAAATAACTGAGCAGTACACACTGAGGCATTTACTCGCACCCCAAATAAGTCCTGCGACCCTTGGGCCTTCGAACCTACATTTCATCTGTCCTTATGTCCTATCCTTCCTCGAACCTGAAATGCTAACTTCCGGATCCCAAGGCAACGCCTCTCTATCATCGTGACAGACACCAGCACACAATCGCAGAAATCGTGTTTGCTCGTCAAGTCGTCCTTCGATTCAAACCTGTAAATACCTTCTCTTTTTGAATCCCAAGGCAACCGTCCAGGTGCGATTCCGTCCCAACAATCTAATTTTTCATTTATGTTTGCAGAACAATTGCATTCGCCCCGGACAGAATTTGTCTAATTTTCGACAGATTTCTATTTTATTTTATTTTCAAATTTTTTTCTATCGTCGTTCTTATTCGGAGAGACTCAGGTGTGGCCACGGTTTCAGTCCTTCGAGCTGCGACGGCGAAATCCTGGTGGACCCTCTGTTTTTTTTATTTCATCTTTGCAGAAAGTTGTTTTCTGGGGATGCGGTCTCAAATATTACCAACTGACACAAACTGCGGTGGGATTCAATTCCAGCTGTCTACATATTCTTTCTTGATACTGGGGCTTCAAGTTCAGGCACAACCCGAGCGTAGTAAAAGCACTTGAGAAAAATCCGGACGCGTGAATGGCATGTGGGAATTTTTACAGATCGAGGGACATATTGGACACGTTATATATCGATATGCCCGAACAGTCGACGGGTTTCGAGGATTTACGTGGCGGCGGGGACATAAAACGTTGATGCACGCAGATGCCAAGTGTAGCAAAAATAAGATAACATATGGGGACACGCAGAAACCGACGGCGCATACACTTGTGCGTGCGGTTCCACGATACTACGTATCACAATAGCTTCACTGTCAACGTTAAATAACGTCAACGGTTCAACCGGATCTGTGTTAAAATTAACTCGGCGTTTTGCAGCATGGAGGAGGGTAAACAACGACATGACGAAACGCCGATACACGCGTCACCGGCAGTTACTCCATAGTCCATAGTCATCTACCCAGGCGATACGCCTAGGATAGAAGAGGATGGAACAGTTGCACAACCGGCAGGGGCCCAATTTAAGCGTACACCAAGCTAAACAGAGATAGCCCCTAATGGACTCCAATAAGAGCCTATCATAATTAACCTGTAAATAAGTGTCGTAAGATTTGGTTTCGGCATGGCATCGACAAGGAACTTGGAAGTTGAATTGATGCGGCGTCGAGTCGTATTGAATTAAGGTCGGTGTATCTGACCATAACTCCGAGTCAACTCAGGACGGCGACGGACTATCCTCACGCTGGGGCCTTTTATGTACACTTTGCCCCCATTGGAGTTGAGTTAGATAGAATTGTTGCAGAATTGAACACGGCGAATCGAGCGCCTTATAATAAAGAGAGTGGAGACGCCCAGCCGCGTGGCAGCACACAGTTAAAATAATTTTTGAGCAGCAGCAGAGCCCACCTACTCTGACCTAGGTTCGCCAAAAACGCGGCGACTGTATTGATTCGTGCGAATTAAGACGCGTCCCGGCATATTCCGGTGGCTGTGCCGTTTTTCTCTGATTCCTTCTTCCCAACACTGGCCCTCGGCGACAAAAAAAATCCACTGAAATGATCTACATTTTTTGAACCGTGTGATTGATGCCAGTTGCGCATGCGCCTAGAGTGTGCGGAACCGACTTGAACACAGTTGAACTCCAAGTTGAACCGCGGTCCCCAGCGCACCCTGCGACTTTCCATGTTGAAGGATATTGTGGGTTTCTGGGTTGGGTTTTGCTTCTGGGGGTTGAACGGGTTCTACAGCGTGACGGGGCACCGGGTGCGTGAGCTCGGCTCGAGAGATTTCTAGAAGTGAGGGACGAAGGTGGACACTATTAGCCTAGTACACCCGGATACTTCCTCAAACCGGCGTTCCTGAGTGGGACCGTGCCGTGTAATCCTACCTACCTACCTACCATGCATATGGGAAGGGAGGGCAGATTCTTGTCAGCTGGGCCATTTAATTCTTATTTCTGTGGCCCGTTCTCAGGTCCATTATTCCATATTTCCGCCTTCAAGTTCTAGTCTCGCTCCTCAGGCTCACTCCCTAATTAAGATCTCGTCCATTTATACAGCTTTAGCCGTTCAATCTGGGGTTGGATCATTTACAAATTTTTTCAAGATTTTATTCCTCTTCAATCTAGTTGACTCACAGACAGTGAAAGGGAGTGTTGGCCCAATAGCACAGTTGGTTAGTGCACCTGCTTATAGTCCCTTTTCATCCATATTCTAAGCAGGAGACCCTCGTTCGAATCGGGGTTTGGGTCATCCGCCAAGATTGTGACTTTCTTTTTTCTTATTTGACCCACCGTTAATCAATTCGAATCTATAGCCCAAGCACGCGGCGTGAACGCCAACGAGGTCGACATAAATCAGGCCGTTAATCATGAGGAAGGAGTGAAAGCGCGGGTATCCGCCAGTGGATGTAGAGGGACTGGCAGAACTGCGAAGTGCGGTTTAGTCAATCTACAGAAGGGAGAGCGCGCGTTGGCATAGGCTGCGAAACACGTTCGTTCGTGCGACGATGAGCAGATCGATAGGACCCCAAAGGAACGAAGAGTAAAATGGAAGGGAACGAAATAAAGTTGGGATTGGCCGCGTATGAAGAGGAATGAACGGGATGGGAGGCAAGATGCAGGCCGAAGGCACGAAGGAAGGAGCAAGGCAGGCCGAAGGAAGGCAGACGATGATAGCGGGAAGGAGAAGGGGAAGGCGGCATTGTGCACCTCGAAGACGGAAGATGAGCCACTTGTGCGGGCACTTACTGTAACTCAACTGCGCGAAGCAGAAGGCGCCCTTGTACGTCTGCGTCTGCATGCGTCTGCGTTCATCTCGGACAACGCCAACACCACGAAGGAGAGGGTCGGTTGACGCACGATGGGGACCCCATTACACCCACTGGCAAGACAAGACGTAAAGCGTAAAGCACGCGTCTTAGAGTGGCGCGAGCGCAAGCCGAGTAGGAGGGACGAGATTAGGAAGCGTGAGTCGACGCGAGCCCGATGCGAGTAGGATTAGGTAGTCTCTCTTGATAAAGTCCCGATGCGAGTCTATCAGCTCTAACTCGTTCCTCGTCCCTCGTTTGTGGGGAACTGGGGTGAGACCGATGCGAGTAGGATTGAGGAGAAAAAGACGATTGGGGAGCGAAAAGGATTAAGGGACTCGGGCCCGAAAGGCAGGGCCAGCAGCGCAGGATCGCATCTAATCCAGACTGCATTCACGACGTCCGATACTAATTTCAACTCCAATTCGGGAAAGAAATCGCGGACTTGTGTTCAAGGCTGCGGGCGTTTAAAAGAAAGACAACCGGACACAGCCGCCCTGGCCCAGGAAGTTCCTACGACTGTTTTTCAACATGGAACCGCAGCTAAGTAGTATGTGATCGACTGAGTTTTTTATGCCGACGAGCTTGTGCGCGCGGACACTGAGCGAACGACTGCACAAACACTTTTACTGGCCTCTGGATGAATGAAAGACAAAGGAAAGAGCTGAACACAGCCACCGGCAAATGCCGACTCCACTTTCCAACTTGACGTTCAACCATCGCGACGTTTACCACATCACAGACTTTCTGTCCTGTCCCATCCACCACCCCCTTTCGAATATTCCCCAACTCGTCTCATATTCTGAGCACCACCAGTCGGCTGTCAGTCGTCCAGTAGCTACTGTAGAACACCGTTCAACGAATTCAACAACGCTTCAACTTGAAGTCGTCGGCACCATATCAAGCGTCGGGAATATGAAACCATCGGCCCAATAGCACAGCGATTAGTGCGCCTGCTGAATCAGTTGATCGGTCAGTTCCGTTGACGAGGAGACCCTCGTTCGAATCGAGGTTGGGCCATCTGTCAATTTTGAACTTATTTTTCTCTCTTCAAGTTGTTTTGTTCATCCACGTCATATAAATTCCACGAAAAGGATTAAAAGTCATGGACCCAATGGCACAGTTGGTTAGTGCGCCTGCTGAAATTGATTTGCCCGTCAAAACGTTTGCAGGAGGCCCTCGTTCGAAGCGGGGTTGGGTCATGAGTTTGAATCATGTTGGTTTTTCCTTCCCTCTTTTTGAAGCTCTTCTTTTTCTTTCTGGTAGAGGTCCACTCAAGTTATCGCATCTACTTCATACAGTTTTTCCCCCTCAAGTTGTTTGGCTCCTCCGCCTTTTTTGTATCTCATGTGCGCGACTGAATTCCACGAAAAAGAGTGCAAATCATCCAACCAATGGCACAGTTGGTTAGCGCGCCTGCCGATACTGGTCTCGGTAAAGTAATCAGTGTGAGCAGGAGTCCCTCGTTCGAACCGAGGTTGGGTCATGGACCTTGTATTATGTCTTTTTCCCCCGTTTTTTCCTTCCCTCTTCCCTCTTCTTGAAGTCCTTCTTTTTCTTTCTCAATTCCCACTCGTCCAACCGCTAAGCGCTAAACCCCAATTTATTCACTACTATCTACTGTACTCCGTACATCGCTACTCCTACAGCACTTCACATCTCGTACTCCTACTTCAAATTATAATTATATCGACGACAAAACATCAACGACAGCACCAACAAAAAAAGCAAAATGCAGAGCCCTAGTACTAGCTATATACAAAGCAATTCGACAAAACAGTCAGTACCTATAGACAAGAAAACTACATAAAACCCAGTTAAAAACCCTACAAGTAACAGTCAGAGGTGCAACTACACAATAACTGCATAGTAGCGTAGCATAGCATAGCATACCGAGCGAGATCTAATAGATAGACACCCCGCTCTAAACCAACAAAATAATCAGCAAAATAATAAGTGGTGGTAACGTCAACGCAAATGTGCGCAATAATCAGTAGCGAGTAGAGGTAATGGTAGGCGCTTATAAGAGCGGATAACGATAGCGAGTTATGTATGTTGTATGTATGTAAGTACGTAGGTCGGGTGGGTGGATGGGTGCGGATGGTATCATATGTACAGGTATTGGGTTCGTATTGGTTTTCGTGTTCGTCGTGTTGGGGATGGGTTATTCGTATACACAGGTTAGGAGTTACGGGCTATGCGCCGTCGAACTCGTATTCGGCGGTCGTCCGCGGGCTCGTTCATTCTTCTTGTTCTGGTAAAGCAAGACAAGAGAGCGGCATAGCGCGCGCGTCTGCGGCTTGGCCTTCGTCTTCCCTTCGCGCCGCGCCGCATCGCGGTCGCGTCAAATGACGGACGCGCGCGGGGAGGCGTGGGCGGGCTGGCGGGCTGGCAGGTAGGCGGGTACACATTAAGACGGGGCATTCATGAGGCGGGTGGGGAGACATTAAGACGGGGGCAATAAAGAAGATAAGACGAGATGAGATGAGGCTAGGTGCGGCGGCAAACGCGGCGGCAAAAATGATACACGAATAGACCGGGTCGCCGGCGGGCGAGGACGGTGACGTAACGGTGACGATGACGAGGACGAGGACGAGGACAAGGACGGTGGGGGCGGGCGCGAGGGTGCGACGCGACAGTGGGGAAGAGCGACGAGACACATCTTCGGGAGTCGGTCGGGTCGGGTCGGGTCGGGCGTGCGAGAGGAGGTGTGCGTCGAGGGAGGACGCGGCCGGGGACACTGGCACTGGCACTGGCACGAGTATCTGATCTCGTTCCTTCCTTCCATCTTGACTTGACCCGCTCTCCCCCCCACCGTCCTCGTCCTCGTCCTCCTCCTCGGCATCACCACCCACCTCACATCCGCCCTACACCCGCCCCCGCACCCGCACCCCACCCCCACCCGCGTCGCGCACCGCCGACGCAAGCCGCGGGTCGCGCGTTCGCTGGTCGTATCTGCAGCACGTCCTCCGCACTCCTACCCTCCCGCTCCGCCTCGCCATCCCGTTCGCAGACCGAAGGACATGCGTCGAACGTGCCCGTTACAGGCACGGACAACGGGGCCGCAGGGAACCCCATAACAGGAATGTCTGCCCCATAACAGGAACAGCCGCGCCAGACCCAGACGCATCAAACCCCAACCCCAAGTCAAAATCGAGCCCCACCGCGCCAGCGAGGGTCGAGGAGCCGGTCGTGAGCTGCGATGATGATGACGAGGAGGAGGAGGCGAAGGAGGAGGAGCCCTGTACGCCTACGCCTGCTAAACCGAAACACACATGAGCCTCTCTCTCTTCACCCGGGAAAAAAAGCGAAAAAAAAACGACTTACCAGACAACACCGCCGTCTGCGACCCACTCGGCGACGACTCCATCGACCCCGGCCCCTCCCCCGTCGCCACCTTCTTCTTCCGCATCCCGCGTCTGCTCTCGGCGGGGTACTCGCACTTGAGCGCGCGGCGCTGGCATTGGCTGTGAAAAGAAAGCGTCAGCATGAGCATGGGCGCGAGACGAAGACGAAAGGCATGGGAAGAGAGAGGAGGAGGAGAGGAAGGATAGGAAAAGACCAAAAAAAAAAAAGACCAAAAAAGAAGAAATAATCGAATCGAATCGAATCGAATCGCAAGAAGGGCGGGGCGACGCTCGACACCTTCCGCCGCCACCGTCACCCCTCCTTGCCCACCCGCACAAATACCTCACTCCCCCGCGCCCCTGTTCGCCCCACCTTCATATCGCAACGTCAACAGGGCAGGGTCGCGTCGGCCAAACGCGAAACGAAATGAAACCGTCAAAAGTCAAATCAAGCGAAACCGCAACGGATTACGAACGAATGAAACGAACGAAATGAAATGAATGAATGAATGGAATGCACCCCTAAACGCGCAATGAAATGCAAAGGCAGGCACCCGCACACACACACGCACACGTCAATGACGTACGGTACGTACGTGCGGGGACTTGCATGCGGGGATCCGAAAACGAAAAACGAAAACGAAAAACGAAGGGGGAAAGCCGAAAAACGTATCGAGTACGTATCGGGTAGGAACAGAGCGGGGTGCGGAGTGCGGGGTGCGGGGGTGCGGGGTGCGGGGTGCGGTGCGGGGTGGGCGAAAGGAACGCAAAACCAGGACGAATGATGGATGGATGGATGGATGGGGTACCAAGGCAATGCAAAACGCGAGGCGCGAAAGGCAAAACGAAGGAATGAAAAGGCTGCGCGAAAGGCGAACGAACGAATGATGCGCGATGCGCGATGCAGATACGAGTATGCATGCAGTGCAAGGGCAAAAGCGAGCGAGGCACGATGGTGGGTCTGGTGGGGAGAAAGGGTGTGGAAAAGCCAAAGCCAAAGCCAAAGCCAAAACGAAGGAAAGGGAAAGGGTGCGCGAACGGATGATGGATGATGGGAGGAGTTAAAATTGCGGGGAGGAGCTAAACTGAACTGAACGAAAGTCCAGCGCGGGGTGCGGGGTGCGAATGCGCGAAAGAGCGAACGCAAACGCGATGCCATGCATGCCCGAATCGTACGTAGCCCAAAGCGAGCCGGACGAAAAGGAGCGAAAAAAAGCTCGCGCGCGCGCGTGCGAAAAAGCTCGCGCTCGCGCGTGCAAGTGAAGCGCGAAGCGAATGGAGCCAGAACAGAGAGCCAAAAAAAAAATCACCACGCACTTACAAGCCCCCATCCCCGTCCCCCCCAGCGCCATCGCCGCACCCCCCGCCGGCGGCCCACACGCAATCTTCCGCCCGCGACAAAAAAGACACGCGAGGGGCGGTTTCTTGTCCTTGTCCTTGTCCTTGTCCTTGTCCTTGTCTTGCGATTTTTTGTCTTTGGCGGAGGTGGAGGAGGGGGTGGGTTTGGAGTCTGTTGGAAAGAGCGGTCAGATTTCGTGTTTTAAGAGAAGGGAGGAAGGAGAAAAAGAAAAAAGGAAAGAGCACGAAAGGAAGGAGGGAGGGAGAGTCGAGGAAGTAGAGAGGACGGAGGGAGGAAAAGAGAGGACGGAGGGATGAAAGATCGAAGGACAGGACAGAGCGGTTAGATTGGAAGACAGGAGGGAGGCAGGGAGATTCAGGAAAAAGAGGAAGTAGCGTGAGGAGCAAGATTCGAGGGGTTCGAGATTCGAAAAATAAGAGGTAGAGAGTGAGCAAGAAGAGATAGAAAAAAACACCCACCCTTGCCCCTCCCCTTCCCCTTCCCCTTCCCCATCCCACCCCCACTCCCACTAATATCACCCACATCCTCTACCTTCATCCTCTTCTCCCCCCTCTCCCGGGAGCGCGAAGGCGAGTGCGACGCGGACACGGACGCCGAAGAACGGGAGCGCGTCGAATCCGCCCGCGAGTGTTTCCGTCTCCTCCCATCGCCATCGCCATCGACATCGTCCCCGTCGTCGGTGGGGGAAGAATGCACAGGCGAATCCGCGTCCTCGGTCTTGACCGCTACGATTTCGGATTCAGATTGTAGGAGGAGGCTAGAAGCGGGTCAGCACGGGTGTAAGATAGGATGGGATAGGATTGATAGAGGAATAGAAATAGGAAATAGAAATAAAGATGAAATAGAAATAGAGGGAGGGAGAGAGAGAGAAAGGCAAAACCAGGCACACCGCGGTCACGGTGGCGGCGAACGCGGGGTAGAAGGATGGAAGGATGGAAGGACGGAAGTCGAGAACAGAAGCCGCCCCCAAAAGAAAAAATAGAAATAGCTATAACAACGCGAGCAAGTAGGCAACGACCCGACCGAAGGGCGCTGAGGCTCTCAGATACAAAGGTCGAGCCCGCCGCTCCGCGCCCCCTGCCCCCAAAAAAGAAAACGACACCGACGTGGAAAACCGAACGGATGGAATAGGAGGAGGATGGGAGCAAGAGGAATAGAGAGAGAGAGAGAGAGAGGAGTGCGAGTCGTCCCCACACGCACACCCACACCACGGTGGCGGCGAACAGCAGAATAGAAGAGTAGAGCGGGAGAAGAGTAGAAGGGTACAAGTCGAGAATAGAATGGAATACGACACAGCGCGCGCACGCTCACACCAGTAGCAAGGCACAAGCCCCAGCCCTGTCCAGCCCCGTCCAGCCCCCGTATCACCAAAGAAACGCCGACATCGACACCGACATCGACACGGGACCCCCCAAAAAAAAAACCAAACACACCCAAAAAAAACAGCAACTCACTCGCTAACCAACGGACTCGCCGGATAATACCCAATACGTCTCTTGGGCGGACGCGGGGGGCGCTCCTCGGGCCTGGGGCGCTCGCGGCGGCGCGTGGGTGCGGGGACGGGGACGGGGACGGTGTACAGCGCGGGGAGGCCGTGCAGCTGGAGCGCGTGCAGTTGGAGAGGCGGGCCCTGCATGCCGGGCGGGGGGTGTCCTTGCATGCCATGCAGGAGGGCGGGTGGGTCGTACGCGTGGGGGTGCATGAGCACGTACGCCGGGGACATGTCGAGCGCATGGGGGTAGTGCGTCTGGGTGGGGGGAAAGGGCGCGTCGCCGTACG